GGGGGGGGGGGGGGGGGGCGGGTCCGTCTTGGAGGAGGGAGACCTCGGTGGCCGCGCCAATGGGGGCAAGGTGGAGGGGTGGTCCTCTCCCCTGGCGCCTGGGTTCAGGTCTTAGCTCGGCAAAATGGAGGGAGGGAAACCCGACGGCAAAGCTGAGGCCGCTCACTCAGAGGGCAGTAGATGCAGAGGAGCTGCGCAGTCGGGGTCCCTGGGCGCCAGGGAAACAGCGTGGTTGGTGGGTTAGGCCGACTCCTGGGACCGAGGCTCCCGGCTTAGAAGAGGGGGCGGCCATCAGATATCTGGAGTGTGAGTGCGTGTGCACGTCCGTGTGCGGGAGCCTGCCTGGGATTGGGGGAGCAGGGGGAAGGGAAGAGCCCTAAGCTCGTGGAGGTGCTCAGGCCGTTCAAGGTGATGCTGAGTGTCCCGGAAGTGTCACCATTGCCACTCTCCGCCGGGCTTTTGGGGGGTCCGGGTGATCATCAAATATTAACAGCACGTTTGTGAAAGGTGCAGACAGCAAGTGGGTGGGCACAGGTCCTTAAGCCAACAGTCCAGTATGGGGTGGGGGCATCATGGAGTGGGCAAATTCCTGCAACAGGGGGCAAAATGATGAGGAAGACATCGCAGAGACATAGCCAGGAGCTCCCCAACCTGGGGGATGGGGCTGGGGGCGGGGGAGAAGGGCACCTGGCTTACAGCCAGACCCAGACCCTCTGTCTTCTCACCCGTGTTTCCAGAGCCGCCAGGCACTAAGGCAGGTGCTCTGTGGGAGAGGGATTTAGGTAGGGCTCTGGAAATTCTGGAATTTGTCCTGTAGACAAGAGAGAGGCAGTGGGAAGAGGACATTGTAACCTGAGGGAACAGCAGAGCAAAGGCCTGGAGATGACGACAGCGGGAGCCATCTGGCCACCAGACTGGAGGGAGTGTGGGGTGCACGGAGGGGAGGACAGTTGGGGTGCGTGGGGCTCTGTCCATGGGACCCAGGTGTCTGGACTTCATTTGTGGGCACCAGGGAGCAGCTGTGCCCTTTGAGGAGGGGTGCAGTGGCCAGAGGACTGTTTCAGGCCAGTGGGGCAGGCGGGGGTGGGTGGATGGGAGGCTGAGAGGTGGGAGGCCAGGGGGAGGCAAGTGGGAGATTGGATCAGGCCAGGGCTTGGGGATGACCTCCTGCCTTGCTGGGGAGGCTGGATGCCACGTGGTGCTGAGACTCTGGAGCCTGAATCTCTTGGAATCTGCCCATTGCTATTTGAAGCTCAGAGAATGGCCTGATTGGGGCCTCTCCCTCCAGCAGCATTCTGCAATCCCTCTTCATCTCCAGTCCTGGAGGACACCTTCCCAGCAGAGGGAGTTTCTAGGGGCAGTCCCCCCTCTCAGAGTTGAGGGAGGGCCTGGCTCCTTCATCTAGAGTCACGTGGTCCAAAAGAAACAAAGTGAGAGCCACATGTAGGCACATTAGAAAAAGGAAAAAGAAAAGTGAAATGAATTCTAACACTGTATTGTTTAACTCAGTGTAGCTAAAATATTTCTTCAACATGTAATCCATATAAAAATATTAGTGAGAGATTTTCTTTTTGTAATAAAAAGTCTTCACTCTCCAGCGTGCCTATTACACTTCACAGCATACCTCAGTTTGGACAAGCCACATTTAAGTGCCCAGTAGTCATACGTGACTGGTGGCTGCTGTATCTGACAGCACGGTTCTAGAGCTCAGAGCTGGGAGGCATAAGTGGGGGAAGCTTCGGGCTTCCCAGAGGATGGGGAACCTACAGAAGTGGGCAGAGATGAGCACAGAGAGGAATTGCAAAGGAAGAAATGAGCCCGACAGTGCTCTTTGCAGGTGTGATTTGAAATCCCTCATTGGAGGTAGTGATGGGCACGGCATGCTTAGGTTCCCACCCTAGAATCACACGCCTCCGGGCTGATGTTCTAAGTCAGTGTACTGGGAAACCATACACAGGGGGAGATTTCAAGGGCACAAAAATGGGCACAGTATGCCCTCCCCTGCCAAAAATCCTGTCTTCTCATTTTGAATGAAACCAAGCCCAGCCTGGTCACCATTTGGCTTTCCCCTGTTCAGAAGTTTCACTGGGGATGTGATGGAGATGGAGAGGGTGGCAAAGCTGTGGCCGATGGCCAGCCGGGAGGGAGAGCTGTAACCGTGGGCACCACTCACCGGTGTGGCTGTTTGTCCAAAAGCAATGATGTTTGTTTCGCAGGGATACACGTCAGGCCCTTGGGGTAGGTTAAAAAATCCCTCACGCCAGCGATGGCCTAGGGTGGCAGGTCATGTGTGAGATAGCCCGAGCCCTGAACAAATCAGTGTTGACACACTCCTGCTGTGGAAGGGCTGCTACTAATTGAGGCCACAGAGGGTAGAGTAGGGATATCCAGTGCCAAGTAGAATTATGAAGAGCAGGGCCCTTGGGGATGTTAGATTCAGTTTAGGATGGAGAAGGGGTGTGTGTGTGTGTGTGTGTGTGTGTGTGTGTGTGTGTGTGTGTTACAAGAGCTGCCTTCCTTTACCTGGCTGTGGGGCTGTCACCTATAGGATAAGGATACTGATAACCGTGGGTAGCCCTCCCACTGCTGTAAAGTAGGTCCTGTGATTACTGCAGGCAAGAAATCATGGCTCAGAGAGGCTAAGCAACTTCCCCAAGATCACACAGTTAGTAAGTGGCAGAACTGGGACTTGAACTCAGGTTTCTCTGACTCATATCCATGCACTTGGTACCAGGTTAGCATTTTTTTTTTTTAATAAATTTATTTATTTGTTTTTGGCTGAGTTGGGTCTTCGTTGCTGCGCCCGGGCTTTCTCTGGTTGTGGCCAGCGGGGGCTACTCTTTGTTGCGGTGCGCGGGTTTCTCATTGCGGTGGCTTCTCTTGTTGCGGAGCACAGGCTCTAGGCGCACGGGCTTCAGTAGTTGTGGCACGTGGGCTCAGAAGTTGTGGCTCACAGGCTCTAGAGCACAGGCTCAGTAGTTGTGGTGCACGGGCTTAGCTGCTCCGCGGCATGTGGGATCTTCCCTGACCAGGGCTTGAACCTGTGTCCCCTGCATTGGCAGGCGTACTCCCAAGCACTGCGCCACCAGGGAAGTCCCACCAGATTAGCATTTGCTGTGAACCTTCCTGGGGCAGAACCCGGATGGATGAGTTTCCAAAGGTCTGGCCTTTCTAGCCTAGCCTGATGTTCAACAGTAGAATGGATGTAGTGAGCACCTATTCTGGTCACGTTCTTCCCGGGTCCTGCCCTCTGGGCTGCGCTTGGACGCTCAGCTAACCTCTCTGTCTCTTTCTCTTTGTCTGTCTGTGTCTGTCTGTCTCCCCCTCTCTCTGCCTCTCTTTGTGGAGGGAGGTTTCTCCCTCTTCTCTTTCATCCTCTGGGTGTGTGTCCCTCTGACTCTGGCCTTTGCCTCCTCTCTGTCATTCATCTTTTCTCTCCGTGCCTCTGTCCCCCTCCCTGTGCCTATCGTGGTCTCTCCGCAGAACCCTCCAGTGGACATGGGTGGGGCCCTGGGGCCGGCCCTGCTACTCACCTCACTCCTCGGTGCCTGGGCAGGGCTGGGCCTGGGGCAGGGCGAGCAGGCTGTGACGGTGGCCGTGGTGTTTGGCAGCTCGGGGCCACCGCAGGCCCAGGCCCGTATCCGCCTCACCCCCCAGAGCTTCCTGGACCTGCCCCTGGAGATCCAGCCACTCACCGTGGGTGTCAACAGCACCAACCCCAGCAGTCTTCTCACCCAGATCTGCGGGCTCCTGGGCACTGCCCGAGTCCACGGCATCGTCTTTGAGGACAACGTGGACACCGAGGCCGTGGCCCAGATCCTCGACTTCATCTCCTTCCAGACCCACGTGCCTATCCTCAGCATCAGTGGGGGCTCTGCTGTGGTCCTCACCCCCAAGGTGCCCATTCAAATTCATGTCCCTACATCCCATGAGCCTGGAGCCAGGCTGGGGCTGGGGGAGAGGGGCTGAGTCTGGGCCAGGGAGACACTTAGGTCCTGGGAAACTGGGATTGGGTGGGCCCAGCAAGGGGGTGAGGGCGGAGGGAGGCATGGGTGAGGGAGGAGAAAGCTGTGGGAATGATGTTCCTATGTTCTAGAAGATAAACTTTCTGAGCTGCTTTCACATTTGTGTCTGGATGAGGGATGGGCAGGTACCAAACCCACCTCTGGTTCTGGGGCAGCCCTTGCCCACCTTCTCCCTGTTCTTCTGGCCTTCCGTGGTCAGGCTCCAGACCCAGAGGTGCAGGGCCAGGCTGGGTGTGGGATCTGATGTAGCTGGCCTGCAGCGGAGAACATCCAAGCGCAGGTCATGCCCTTGCTGTCCTGCGGGGAGAAAGCGCTAAACACACATTCACCAGCAGTCACAGCTGGGATCCTAGTCCCGAAGGAAAAACACAGGATGCCCCGAGGGAGTCCAGTGGGACCCCTTCTGGGTCTGGGGTTTGGTCAGAGAAGGTCTCCTAAGAAACGACACCTAAGCCGAGACCTGGAGGATGAGGGGGGTTGACAAGGTGTGTGCGTGGGGTGGACTGGGGGAGAGTGTTCCAGGCGGAGGGAGCAGGTGGCGTGAACACCCAGAGGTGAGAAGAAGCAGAGTTTCTGAGGAACAGAGAGGAGCCTGGAGAGGGAGGCGAGGTCCCAACCACACGGGAGGGCATTTGGGTTTTACTCTAAGTAAGTGAGGAGCTGAAAAAGGTGTTGCGGGGAGACTGATCTGATTTGCCTTTTCTTTTATGATTCTATTTTTATTATGGGGAATTTTTTTTTTTTTTTTTTGCGGTACGCGGGCCTCTCA